ATTAGTAAAGCATCATGTGTTCTTCATAAGGTGTATCAGATGCATGATGTTTTTACTAATAGATAACACAAATTTACTGAAAAACCTTAAAAATGTACAAACATGGTGCTTTCACTAATACACAACTCAAAATTAGTGATAAACATTATGTATCTGATACACCTTAAAATTGTACAAACATGATGGTTATACTTAATTTAAAGTTAGTGAATCACTCTTCATTGTTAAATGACTTTTAATTTCATTTTACAAACACATGCAACAATTTAAAATTAGGGTTTTATCAACAAAACACAAAATTATGAATTTTAAACACATACCTTAAGAAGTGTGGGTCTGGAAACAACATGTGTAACTTTTCTTGGCCTTTTTTATGGATTTCTTCAGTCTTTTTCTTTGGCGCATCTACATTCTTATTCTTCATCGATAATGGGTCATGCAATCTCTTGGATCTATTCTCAGCCCACATTTCATCATTTGAATCATACACACGTTTAGAATCACCATCTCCAGATTTACCCTCTTCCATATTATTTGTAAAAGCACACGATGAAGATAAAAAAGGAGACTAAAATTTTTACCCTTTAAAAACTTGGAAATTTAAATACTTGATGGAGACTCCTACAGAAAACCAAATTGATATGGCTGCAAAATTCTACTGGAATTCAAATTTAGAGTAAAATCTGCTCCTAAGACGTGTTGTGAGAGAAAATTATCCTCCTAAACTAAGGGGAAATAAAAAAAGAAATAAAATTTAATATGGTAACTTTTAATTGGGACTGTTAATGAGGAAGTGGGTAGCTTGAAAATAGGATTTTATTTTGGTACAGTAAAACTTGCCAATTGGCTGAAAAAAGGGTGGGAAATCTATATGTATCTTTCATATTTTTTTAATTGGGGGAAATAAGAGATTTTTGAAATTTTTAGGGATAATGTCCAAGTACCTCCTCAACCTATGTCCAAAATCCCAGAGACACACTTATACTATACTAAGGTCCTATTAACCCCCTGAACTTATTTTATAAGTAGTTTTGTACCCCTTTTCAGCCTTTGTGACACTAGTTTGAAAAAAAAAAGTCAACCATCATTGAACTCACAAGATAGTGTCACGTAGACCGAAAGGGGACAAAAAATTATTTACAAAATAAGTTCAGGGGTAATAGAACCTTAATATAGCATAAGTGTGTCTCTGAGATTTCAAGCATAGATTGAGGGGTACTTGTGCATTATCTCAAATTTTTATAATAAGTAGGGATAAATGGTTATTAAGGTAATTAAAGGAGTATATTTAAGTAATTTTTCCAAAAACAAAATACAAATATCTTGAGAATAAATGTGGGCTTTTCTGGCCCAATCTCTTCAACTTGGGGACATGTAACTTTTCCTCCTTTTCACTCGAACAAGTAAGGTTGACTCGATACTCTAGAATGCCAGAAGTGATGAAAAAAGTCCAATTTGGACCCCGCCAAGCATCATGTGTAAAAAAAAAAAGAAAGAAAATTCGTACTCTCTTAAATGTCTTCTAAAAACAAAGTTACACGAAAACATTACTCAATGTATATGTTGAAAAGAATATGGCAATTAACGAAGTGTCTCAACTTCCAGTTGGCTCCCAAATAAAAAACAAAAACATGTTTATACCACAAAATGTGAAAATCAGGGAGATACTGACAAATCCACATGCATGAAACAAATTAAAATAAAATTATAAAAATTGTGTTGTCATGGTTTCTATTTTAAGATTTAAAGTATCAAACTATAAAAACTTTGACTAACATTTTAAGATTTATTTTTTCAATCAAATTAAAATGCAGAAAATTATAATTTATAATACTTTTCATGTAGTTTTAGAATATCTAATTTTTTTTATTTAAAATATCAAATTAACGTGATCTAATTTACCTTTGAAAATTAATCAAATGAACTTTCGATAAACGCAACATGACAAACAATTTCAAACAGAGGGGAGTAATTAGCTTTGGAAAGGAAAATGAGTTAAGCACATGGGAATTTCAAACAATGACATGATTAAATTAATTGCACAAGTACAATTCAATTTTTTCACATAAACAACTAATATATCACAATTAGAACAAAATGTAATGACTAACTGAGGCAAACACATTCGTATTTGCTTAAGAATGGAGTAAAATTCATACTGATGTGTTTATGGAGAGGCAAACAAGCTAACATAAAATTAAGTACACCATAACGACATTTTACTTCCAAAAAGGGGCCAATATTTGTAACTTAAATACTAAACAAATCATCAAAGTCTATGACTAAACAACAAGAAATCAACTGGAAACTAAAGAAGATGAGAAATCGATCAAACTCAAAAAGCTAAATTTAAACAAAGATCAGCCCTTTGTATTAACTATAAAACAGTGAACAAATACTAAGATAAGAGAAGCTACTAAACATGTATACAATTATAAGAACTCAAACTTTCGATGAGGTCCAATTTCAGAAGACTTGAAGAGATCAAGATTAAGAACACTAGTCGAAGTAAAATAAAATAAAAGGAGAATGACAAACAACTGAACTCTTGAAAATAACATAACCTCACATTGAAACACAGATTTAGTGATAAAACATGAATGAAACTGAGATGGATACAGAGGATGGGTTAGTAGCCATCTGAATAAATACAGAAACTGTATAGTACTCTGATAAGTATGAGAGCATGTTGATACTAACTTGAATGAACAACTTCAAAAGGCTAAAACATACCAGTGTTCGAAATAGGATATAAATAATAATCAAGTTATATTAGAATGGATGGAAGACTATAATTGTTATATTCTACGTGTTTTGATGATTCTTACAAATGCGGGGACCTAGTTCCTGGCAGAGTGCTCTCGTCCAGATACAAATGGGGTACAGTCATAAAAGCTGTCATGTCAGGTGGTAGGTGAAAGTGTAGTATCCTACACCAATAAGAAGAGTGGACGAGATTGTATGTTTCAGTATCTCACAAATGCAGGGACCTGGTACCAGACAGAGTTTCCTCCATCAGATATATAATTGGTTACATCTGTAAAGCTGTCATGAGAGGTTGATAAGACGTCAGTGTACTACACCAATCAGAATGGAGGAAGGTGTTTGTCCAACGGATAATAACTCTTTATGTTTGATACTTTTAGCATGACAAACACCATATTATATTCATTCATCCAAAGAAAGAAGTCAGTCAGCAAGCCTTTTCAAGAACTTATATAGAAGTTTGCAACCTGGTTCCCGCAAGCAAGGGACATGGTACCCGCAAGACTAAGACGTGAAAAGGACGAAAAGACAGTTGTCATCTCTGATGCGGTAGGTGCACAACTTTTCTAACAGCAGCCCTTCAGCCAATGGGATGACTTCAACGAATTTGTGGGAAATTATATTATCTCTTTCCAACAAACACAAATTTGAGACTTGGCAAATTGAACTTGGATTTTCTCTGAAAATTCACAAGCTTGAACAAAAGGTCATTTTCAAGGAAGAACATTGCTCAACTCAACAGAAGGACCTGATAGAGTAAAGAAGAATCTTTGTTGTATTTAGAGCTTTGTATTTATGTACTTACATTGTAAATTTGTTCCTAATCTATAAAGGATTCAGATATTTGTTTTGGGTTTGTAAAAGTCTAAATCAGTTAAGATTAACTGATTTAGTGGGCAATATTAGTTTGTTGCTTAGTCAAATTCTAAGTCATCTAGAGTTAGGTGGTTTAGTGGGCGGTGTTGTATCCGCTTAGGCTCTTCAAGTAATAGGTAGATTACTTGATCGTGAGATTAATAACTTTTTCACACATTGATTGTAACAGAGTTTCACTTTTGCTTGAGAAGATTAGTGAAGACGGTTGTAAATCCTGTGCAACAAGTCGTGGTTTTACTCCCTTGAGCAAGGAGGTTTCCACGTAAACTGCTTGTGTTGTGTTCTTTATATTATTTAATCTTCAGCACTGTTCTTGCTGTGTCAAGGGACCTGGTCCGTTGACCGATAGTGATCGCACATATTCCAAAAATAATCAATCTAGAACATGAGCAAACAGAGAAAACATAACCAAACAGTCATCAAACTCATCTCGAACCAAAAGAACATAGGCTACTCAAGCATAACTAAATCGAGAATCAATCGACTTTTCAGAACAAAACCAAGCTATATTGAAACTATGAAGTGAATTTGGAATAGCAGTTCATTGCTTCAATCGCAAAACTCATAAAACTCTTAATCATAAAATAACAAAGAAAAACTAAAGTCATTTTTACCTCTTTCGGAGCAGCAAACTGAGACGAGTCCGGACTCGATCAGAACTTCCACCACCACACTGTAAATTCCGAAAACTTCAGCGAGCTCCAAAGATGCATGAAAGAACAAACAGATTCCAAAGAGACTCAAATCCTTTTGTATTCTAATCGAGAATGTTTTTTTTTGTTCAAGTTTTTACTCTCGACCTCAGAAAATCCTTTCTCTCTAAACTATCATTTTCTCTACCTCCCTTTATTCTCCAGCTCTCCTCGTCAACCTCAAATAGTGAATAAGTGGGAGGTTTTTATATGGGGGAAATTAGGGCATATTTTGAAAGGGGAAAACGGGATAAGTTTTTGAAAATCAAAATTCAAAAATCTCCCCCCGAAAGATAAGATAAGGCTGCTAGCTTTGTACCAATACCTCTACAATTCTCAACGGAAGAATGAAGATAGTCATCCGATTCGAAGCAAAGGACGAAAGAGACGGGAGATTTCGACACCTGGTTCCGTACGCGAGAACGACGGACTCCGGTCGATTTCGCTGGACTGGGCTCGCGATTTGCGATGAACAGCGTCGGGACTCTACTTGCGCCGGAATCGCTGGATTTCGCATCTGAAAGAAAGAAGAACAGTACGCGATAGGGTCAGGAGAATGAAGGAAAAATTAGTAATCGAGTCAAAAATCCTGACATAATTAATAAAAAATTATTCTTTATAAATATTATTAAAATTGTCAAAATATCAATATTTTATAAAATAAAGTGTATCCTTTTTTTAGTTCTTTTTTTAATCTCACATTCCCTTAATCACACGTTTCCAATACATTCTCTTTCGTACGTTTTCAAAAATAGTAATTTTTCTAATTCAGTTCTTCCATTCTTCCAATCCCATATTCTCTCTCTTTCATTTTTTTGATTTTTTCTTCAAAATATGAAAAATATATCTCTAGAGATATTTATAACAATCCCTTTCATTAAGGTATGCATTTTTATTCGATTTTTAAATTTGTTGATTTTTTTTGTTTAAATCTTTCAAAATTTTTGTTTGTTTAGTGGAGTAGTACCTTCTTCAATTTCATTTAGGGTTTTGGATATTGAAAACCTCAAAAACCCTCTTTAATGAACGATTCTAAGAGGATTACAAGAGGTATCTGACTTTATCATTAATTTTTTAGCAATTTCTCATGTTTCTTGTTCAAAGCGTATCCGCACTAATGAAGTGGAATCTAAATACCTAAATCATATGAGTCTTACTATATAAAGAATTAACACCTAACAAGATATATTTATCATATACTATAAAATACCTAATAACACATTATGATTACCTACAAGAAAAGGGAATTATGTATAATAGTAATAAGCAACCTGTTGGGTTATGGGCCTTTTTTCCCTTCCTATGTGGATAAATAAAAGCTCATTTTGGACCAACCCATTTTTGCTCATAGACCCATTCTTATGAGGCAAATATAAGCCTATTTTGGTCTTATTTTCATATACACAGAGAGTTTTTTCAGCAGCCAAAAAGAGAGAAAGAGAGCAGTTTTCGCAGTCAAAATTCAGCCCTAACAGCCAACTTCAAATTGCGATTTCCGCTTCGTTTCTTGTCCGATTGAGCTGATTTTTGGACAGCATATTATCTTCATTTCAAGCTTTGATTAGGAACTGACAGAGTTGGATTTGGTGGCCTGCATCTTCAGTTTTCCTGTCGTGAACAGTAGCTGCGAAATTGGTGATTTTGCTCCTTTAATTCTCTAGATTTGGTGCAATCTAATTTTTTTGTTGCTCGTTGTTTGATACTTGTTTTGTGGACAATTTTGGAGAACAATATTGTAACTCTTGGTGATTATAGTGGAGCTTTTGGTCTCGTGATTTTTTACTCTTCATATCAAAGGTTTTCCACGTAAATCTTGGTGTCTTGTGTGATTGGTTTATTATTGCCTTGTTATATTTGTTTGGTTGAATTACTTGCTGCCTTACTATCATATTGCTTGT